TCAAAGATTTTGTACATCATGATTGTATAAAATAAATTACAATCCATTTTAAATTAATCTTGATATTTATAGAATATTATTTAACTAAATATTGTGAAATCATTTATACAACATTGTTAGTTAGAAAACATAATATAGTAAGTGTTTAACCCCCGGGAGTTTATTGCAAAAAAGTTGTTCAACTTAGAATACAGTAGAGTTGGCAATAAGTCTATTGCTTTAGGGTATTACAGAACTTTCGAAATTAAAGTTCATTGAAGTTAAACGATAAATTATAACTTATATGTGTCACCTATATTGGAGAATTATGGCACTTAATTTTAAATAAAAATTCATAAACAATTATACATATATATTACGGTCGATCTTCGTAATTTTATTGAGAACCATTTTAACATTATTTTATACATTAAAATAGGCATTTTGTGAAGATTTGAGTTTTTTTAAAAACATTTTATTGGTGGCTCAATGTGTTTTAAGTATTTTGACCAAAAATACCAAAAAAAATGGCATCTGTATTCAATATTTGCTCAAATATTATGATTAATATATCAAAATAGTTTGATTTTTAATGTAGAATACAAATTTTTTTTTGTCAAAATTTTAAGTCGAAAATTAATAGCGTGGATATCATAATTAATGTCATTATATAATATATTTCTAGTATGTCTCAAGTAAGCTTAAAATTTTTGTTTTTTTGTGTAGTTTGGCTAATATTGAATCATTTGGCTGATATCATGAGCTAATTATTTTATGGTATAATACTATAGAGTAGCTTGAAACACTTAATAACAGACAAGTTAATCAAAATTAATAAAATTGTGCCATAGTGTCTTAATATTTTTGTATTTCCTAGTTTTAAAGAAACAATAGTATTAATAATTATTAAATATAAACATTTTTCGTTCTTTATTAAAAAAAAAAACAATCTGTACATAAAATTTACAATAAGTTTTTTTGTTGACTTATTCAATTAAAAAATATTGTAGAGGTTGGGAGACAGGTCACTTTCTTGAGGAACACCTGTTTGCATTTTGTAGTAAGGAAAATTTGCACTGCCTTGCCTTACCGTGAACTTTCTTTCATAAAGATAAGACTTTATTATTAAATATAAGGGCACTGGGAATTTTTTTTTTAATTTGTAAAGCAAAATTATAAGGATTATTACGGCTATTTTCCAAATTGACGGAAAGTAAGAAAGACGCATCATACTATTATTGTTAATATATGTTAAAAGGATACCTTTTTTTGATAAGTTCAACACTTTATTTGTGATTAGGTCATACCCAGGAGTTTTACCTTTAGGTAATTTTTTAATAGTTGCTTTAATTTTTTCAGGACTGAATGATTTAATAGGAGGAGACATAAGTAGAGGATATGAGATAAAGTTATTAACCGTATTAATATGATTAGAGTCGGGCTTAACGTCTTCATGTGGTTTTATTTACATTTATTTAATACATCTAAATAAATGTTCAGCAAAAACCGTAGCTTTGTCTTCATCTGATATAACAAGGATACCGTTATTATTTCGAACAGGTGGGGTAATTTCTTTGGTTTAATTCAGTTGTTTTGTAGCTTTCCATAATGATTTATCCTTAGCGTTGAGTGATCAAATGTAGTTTTTATACTGAACTGATTTGAATTTTAGAAGTTGGTGTTTTAGGGTATTAGCTAGTTTGTTGTAGATTTGTTTAAACGAGGAATATCGAGAATTTCACTCTAATTCTTCTTTTCTCACTGATGAGAGCTCTAATATGGACTGGGAGTTTTCTTCATTTTGACAATTGTTCTTATTTAATGAGGATGAATTACTTGCTGAGTTTTTGATTTGTGAAACAATATTTTGAGCTGCATTTCAACGTCGTCATGGATTTGAGTGGAATTTTCAGATTAATTTTTTTATCTAACTAAATTTTAAATTTGTCTTAGTTAATGAGTCCTATTGTAAGGGATGTTCTTGTATTAAAGGAGATCTCACCACCGATAGTTAGAATAATGGGTAAGTGGTCACTAAAAATATCACAAATATTTTTTATGCTAGAACTTAGTTGACTTGGGATATTTATTACAAAGAAATCTAGAATATCTGGGATTCGGTTTGCGTAGGCTGGTCAATAAGTTAGTCCTGTTGACGAAATGAATAAATAGTGATTATGATTGATCGCTGTATGCACACGTTTTCATCTTTGGTTGTTGTCAACACAACCCCATTTTGAATGTTTGGAGTTAAAGTCCCCTCCCGCTATAGATGGTTTAACCTAGAGAATTGAAAAAATTATGGAAATCATCTTGACGTATATTATATCTAGGAGGGCAATAAACCACGTATAGGGTGATTGGTATGTCATTGATTTTAATAGACACAGTTGAAGCTTGTATAGATGGTTTTTGATATGGACTTATTTCGTCATGTTGTATATTTTTGGAAATGTAAATGGCGGCACCGGCATGAGCTGTAAAGTCAGGGTGATTAGTTTTAAATAGTGTGTAGTTGTAAATATTAAAGTAATTTTTGGCAGTAAAGTGAGTTTCACTTATTAGTGCTATGTCTATTTTGTTACTGAAAAGTACAGTTTGAAATTCATTTTTGTATTGTTGAAGACCATTCGCATTTCTAAGGAGTATTTTGATGATAGGATTTTTGAAGGTAATTGTGCTAGACATTTTTTTAAATAATTTTATTAATTAAAGTGGTTAATAAGGATATTAAAGGATCAATTAAGGATTTTAAGTCAGTTAAAGAGATGAGAGGTGTCAAGCGAGTTTGTTATTATAAGTATTAGTTGTTTCTATGTTTGGCGAATCGTTTGTATAATTGTGCTGTTTAGTAACTTTAGCGTATGATTTATATGTGTTTGGTTCATATTCGTTAATGTTTTCTAATGGGATGTTATCAATGGTACATTGTTTGAATTATTATAATTAAAAAGATGACTGCTTTTATGAAATTTAGAATTGGGTATCTACGCTGTTGCTTGTTTTTATACACAAGGCAACCTCTGTAAATCGCTGGATGAGCTCTTCCACACAGTACACATTTGGTTGGTTTGTCTTTAGTTTTTTAACAAACATCTGACATATGTGAACCGTCACATTTGACGCAACGGGGTTCGTAATTTCAGTATCTTTTAGTATGGCCGAAATTTTGGTATCATTGGCATTAAATTGGGTTATTCTTAAGTATGAGAAAAATTAAACAATTTTTTTTCTAAAAAAATTAATTTTATAAAAATTATGTATTTGAGATTTCAAATAATTCTGTTTTTTGCAAGTAAAAATAAATCCATAAATTACCAATATTATATCTTATTATTAAACACCTGTCTTTTTTCTATAAAAAGATTTTAAGATAAATACAATATATAATTTTACATTTACGATAATATATCAAAATTAAAATTGTTTTAAACGTAAGTAAAAAAAATTAAATTGAAAAGTATTTAATTTAAGTATTTGGTAATATTTTAAAAATATCATATATTTTAGTATACTCTATATTTTTTAAAAAAATTATAAGTTTTTAAGATTAGTGAATAATTTTTTTTCTACTTAAATACTTTTTACTTTTAATAAACTGCAAAAAAAAAAAATGTATGCTTGTTTGAGACCTACTAGACATATATTATATAATGACGTTAATTATGATAAGTGCGCTAATAATATTTGATTTAATATTTTGAAACTAAAAAATTTGTAATTTACAGTAAAAATTAAACTACTTTGATATACTAATCATAATATTTGAGCAAAAAATGAATAACAAAGGAAGTTTTTTGTTATTTGGGCTATTTTCGGTCAAAATATTAAAAACACGTTGAGCAACCAAACAATTATTTTTAAAAAACTATAATCTTCACAAATTGCCTATTTTAAAGTATAAAATAAACTTAAAATGGTTATTATTATAATTTTGAAAATCGAAAAAATATGTTTAATATACAGGGTGATTTTTTTATCATAACCCACTCAATTACTTGCAGAATAATAATAATTTAAACATTTATTTTTTTTATTATCTTTAGTTACACATTATTCTTGAATTTTTAACTATATAATACTTTTTAAGTTCTACCCTTATGCCTTGTAAGGGGGTCAACTTTGTTTTTTTAAATGGTAACACATATTATTAATTTAATAAAATGTTTGAGTTTTTAATTTAATAGTAAATGGCATTTGAATTTTTAATATAACTTAATTCGTTTATTAGATATAATCATTTAAAGTTTCAAATTTTTGAAATTATATACATGTATAATACACATGGGATTGTAAATACAGGTAGTTAATTGGATTTTTATGACATTGCTGTCTCAGTCACGGATTGTTTATTATCAATTGATATACTTTCTGTATTGTCAGTTAGTGTATTTATAAACTCATAACAATGTGCCTTACTATCATTGATAATAACAATGATGTGTACCTGCTAATATCGATGTCATAAAAAATCAATTAGCTAACTGTATTTGTAATCCCTTGTGTATTATACCTATATATTAACTCAAAAATTTGAAACTTTAAATGATTATATCTAATAAACGAATTAAGTTATATTAAAAATTCAAATGCCATTTACTATTAAATTAAAAACTCAAACATTTTATTAAATTAATAATATGTGTTACCATTTAAAAAAACAAAGTTGACCCCCTTACAAGGCATAAGGGATGAACTTAAAAAGTATTATATAGTTAAAAATTCAAGAATAATGTGTAACTAAAGATAATAAAAAAAAAAAATGTTTAAATTATTATTATTCTGCAAGTAATTGAGTGGGTTATGATAAAAAAATCACCCTGTATATATATTACACAGTGTATATAGTGAAATTTATTTAGAATAAACGCACCATTTTTTATGAATAATGATTTTTTAACAAAAATGTATAAATTAAAATTTTATATATTAAATATATTATGAAATTATAAAACTGTATTAATTTAATTGTAAAAAAATTAAAATTTATAATTATTTATTTATATAATACTATTTTAAATGTAAAATATTATTTATTTTTTTATAAAATAATATTTTAATCGTATACAATATAATCAACCATATGCTTTGGATAATCATTTAATTGAAATGATTTCAGTTTTAACATTTTGTCAAAGTTTTTATCATAATTTTCGAAATTCGCAATATTAGAAATCCCAAATTCTTCTAAACCATCATTATTCCCGACATCCAATATTCTATTAAAGTCTTCATTATAACCATGGTCGATAATTTTTTCATCAGTATTTTTATTACTAATTATTGGATTTTCTTTACATAAATTATCTATAATTAAAAAAAACAACAATGTTAAAAGTAAATAACATTGTAACAAACTAATTTATTTGTAACATTACGAATAATCTTATAGCATTACAATTACTTATACAATATAATTATTAAAGAATACTACCCCCTTCTATTTTTTCGTTAAATAATGATTTTTTCATAAATATAGTTGATATTATTATATTCATAATTACTTATATCAATTATTTGATTAAGAAATCAGACTACAGTTAATTTTTTCCAGTTAATTTTGAGTTTTTTCATTAATAGAATTAATAACTGTAGAATCACAATACTTGCAATAGTTATTAATGAAATTTATAATATCAATGAAAATTGTTAGCTACTTCAAAGTGGGTATAAAATAAACATTGGAATAATTAATTTTTTCATAAAAATATACAATAGTAACCTATAAAATCTGCCTTGAGAAATCATTTTTCTTACAATAAACTAAATATTTAGTATGATTCATAAAATAAATATAATTTTATTCAACACATTTAATTAAAAATTATTATTTAACAAAAAAATGTGGGGTAACATTTTTAATAAATTATGTTGTATAATATTCTAAACCTTTATAAAAGTTAGTTTTATCACATTTATAAAAACTTACCAATTATAAAAGGTTGTAAAAAGTATTTGAAATGTGAAATATCTATTTTCCTACTATCTTGTACTATATGAAATGAATTAAATGAATTTATATATTTATCTAACTCAATAAGATACATATCAACTTGTTTTTCTTTTTGCAATATTTCATTGCATAAATTCAATACGTTTTCTTCAGTGACAGTTGTTTGCGATTCCGTATTTAATTTTAATTTATTACTGTGCAAAAATGAGACTATTAAATTCAAAATATCATTTGGAAAATTTTTTTTTTTAAGTGTCTCACCAGCAGAGCATTTTATAATTATGGAAAGTTTACGAAAAATTATATCAAGAAAATTACATGCGGTATAATGAAAAATGTTCAAAGATTTGAATTGTGTGAGACAATTAATGATATTTTTGCCCAAATCATCTAAAATTGTTATATGTTTCTTTATATTTATTCCATTTTCAATTATATTCATTACAAAATGTGTGTAATCAATTATAAGTAAACCAACAGGACGAAAAGTAGCTGCAAGTAAAAGTCTTATGAAAGCTTTCACTTCCATATAAGAAAATTGATATTTTACAAAACGAAATATATCTGATAATGTTAGATAAGTTTGATCATTACACTGTATACTTAGAGGAGTAAAACGTAGAAGATCTAAAATATCTTTAGGCTTGTCATTTGTAAGTTCTATATGTCGTCTTGTCTCTGTACCATTCATCAAATTATTTTCTGACTTGTCTGTCATTAAATTATAGAAAAAAAAATTTTTCGGGAGGAACAAGGAATTTTTTTTGTTACGTTTAACTATTTCAGAATTTATTATTTTGAATATTTTGTCTCTGAGAATATATGTAGCATTAATTAATTGATCAAGATTTTCTTTTTGTACTTTCATATTGTTAGGATACAGGCCATAGTCTGATGTTGAAACATCAGAACAATTGTAATTTATATAATTTAGTAAGTTTATTACTATTCCATGATTTACTATTTTAATACCTTGTATACCTAGAAACACCTTTTTATTTTTAATATCATTATCTAAGTTATTTTTAGAAATTATATTTACCGATTCAGATAAATTATTTAAGTACAAATTTACTGCCATCAAGTCTGATGGAAAATGTTTATCATATCTATTATATAATTCTTCAACCATGTAAAATACAACGTCACCATGAGATTGAATAGCTTGTTTATACTTCTTTAAATCATCTTCATTCACTTTTTCAACATCGTTTTCCATTTGTAATAAATAATGTCCACAATACAAAAAAAAATTCAACATGTAGGTAGAGTAATCGCAATGTCGTTTTTTTGTAGTAGGATTTGCTAATGAAGAATTAAATAACAAAATTGCTAAAATTGTAAAAAAAATCATTATGATTTAATTGTAAGAATTATTTAGTGCAAATTAAGAACAAAGAAATTTGAAATAATAATACTCATTTAATTCAGTTTAGATCATTTTATTTAATAAATTTTTAATATAACATTAAAAATATATGTATTTATTCTTGTTTTTTTAACTTTAAGTAAACATTTGCAGACTATTATTTTACAGTAGCTCGTAAATAATTTCAATGGTTAATGCTATTAAGAAATATATATTTCACTTGAGATAAGATCATTTACAGAGTGATTGGATTATCGTTAACCACTAGATTGTTCTAAAATAATAATTTTAAATATTTTATTTATTTATTAACTCAAAAAATGATTAAATTATTTATATTAAATTTTAAATGTTTTTATAAATGCATTGAAAATATAAAAAAATTTATTCGAAAAACATTTAAAATTCATCAAATAAAAATTGTTTTTTTGACAGTGATTTTAATCACTGTCATAAAATTATATGAAGTGTATTTGAAACTAATTTAATAAATTTATATAATAGAAGGTGGCTTTTATTTTTTTGTAAAATAATGATTTTTTCATAAATATTTACAGATTAAAATCTAATTTCTTTTTATGAATTATAGTAAATATCAATTTCATTATAGGAAAAAATTATTTCAGTGATAGTTTTTATAAGTATCTTTCTAAAGTCAAATGAGAACATTATTAGTTTTACTATTAAATTTAGAATGGTTTAATTAAATTTTACTCCTAAAATATACTCTGAATAATAATATTCTGTTCCAATAAACCTGATATTTACTTTAATTTGAAAAAAGAAATTAAATTTTAATCTATTCACTTTTATAAAAAAATCATTAAAACAATATAAAATGAAGTCTTTGGAATTGAAACTTATGGATTAATTAGGGTTAGAAAATAAAGTCTATGCTTATTATTTTAATACCCGTAGAAGATTCGTTTGCAGTATTATTTGATTGATTATTTTCTTTTCGATATATTTCATGTATATCAAATATTTAAATACAATAATAGTTGTTAATAACACTTGTGATCAATTTATTTTTTGTCGAAATATGTACTAACTAATTTTTATACTCTGAATACTCATCGGTTATTTTATATTAAGATTTTTTTATATTAAAATGTAAAACCAATTTTTCTGCAATTTGTTGTTTTCAGTGACCTAATGACAATACTACATTATTAAAAATTTTCAAGAAAATGAAATAATAAATTCAATGTTTATATAAATAGCGCTTAAGAGATAACTAAATCTAAAATGCTCATATAATATGTTCAAATTTAAAATATGGATTTCTAGCTATTGAAAATCTATATTTTTTAATTTTTATGACTTTGTACAATTATTATACAAAATCGTAAAAATTGATGCTGTTCTTGATATTTTTCTCAATGAAGATTTTCAATTGTGAAACGATAAAAAAAAATATGATTATAATGACCTTATTGAATACTTCTAATTATTTAAATTATCCTTTTACAATGTGATAAGAATTTAAGTTGAAAAAATATTATATGAAAAAAGACCTAATGTACTTAAAGTATTAAACAACATTGAGGTTGGAAAAACTTAAAACATCTATTACCATGGAAAGTTTTGAAAGAGTAACATATAATTAAATGTGTTATCATCAGTTAAAAAGACATTATTGTAAATGTCATAAATCAAAACTTGAAATTTTTTGTATTAGACATTAAATAAATAGTTTCTTCTCAGGATACTCTTCAAACAACAGTAATAAGTTCAAAAGGTTGAAAAACAGTTTTTTAGTTTAAAATATCATTATTTAAATTACTATATTAATCTATTTTAACTTTCAACTTCATAAAAATCAGTATAGCCAATGCTGGCGTTAGATTTTGCGGGGCTCAAGGCAACTCATAATTGTAGAATCCTTGTTGTGTCAGTCGTAGGGGGATGAAGTAAGATAGATACATTCAGTAAAAATTATTTTTCTATATACATTCTTCCTAAAAATAAAACGTTAACTATGTCACTTCTAAGTGTGGTGCCCCACGAGGCATATGCACTTATTTAGATACTAATTAGGTAGATACTAATCAAAGTAAGATATTAATATAATTCATATTAATAAATTCCTTATGGTCTAAATCATAAATGTATGGAAACCACTCATTTTTCATAGACATATAGACTTTGATCCGTTAATTATAGCCCACACAATATCTTCAAAAGTACAAGATGAAAAATGATTTTTTTAATTTCACAAGTTATTAGTATCCTGCATACATAAATTAACACTAAAAAAATACCTGAAATTTGTGTTAAGTAATTAATTTTCAATGTTTTTGTATTTCTATGGCTTTTTCATCGGTCTCTTAAGTAGAAAATGATGTAATTTTTAGTGAAAATATAAAAATTTTGTAAATTAGTTTCAAATACACATCGTATAGTTTTATGACAGTGATTAAAATCACTGTCAAAAAAAAATTTTTATTTGATGAATTTTAAATGTTTTTCGAAAAACATTTTTTTATATTTTCAATGCATTTATAAAAACATTTAAAATTTAACATAAATAATTAATTCATTTTTTGAGTTAATAAATAAATAAAATATTTAAAATTATTATTTTAGAAAAATCTAGAGGTTTACGATAATCCAATCAATCTGTATATGATCTTATCTCAAGTGAAATATATATTGCCTTAATAGCATTAACCATTGGAATTATTTACGAGCTACTGTAAAATAATAGTCTGCAAATGTTTACTTAAAGTTAAAAAAACACGAAAAAATACATATATTTTTAATGTTAAATTAAAAATTTATTTAATAAAATGAACTAATCTGAATTAAATGAGTATTCTTATTTCAAAAATTCTTTATTCTTAATTTGCACTAAATAACTCTTACAATTAAATCATAATGATTTTTTTTACAATTTTAGCAATTTTGTTATTTAATTCTTTATTAGCAAATCATACTGCAAAAAAACGACATTGCGATTACTCTACCTACATGTTGAATTTTTTTTTGTATTGTGGACATTATTTATTACAAATGGAAAACGATGTTGAAAAAGTGAATGAAGATGATTTAAAAAAATATAAACAAGCTATTCAATCTCATGGTGACATTGTATCATACATGATTCAAGAATTATATTATATATATAAAAGTCATATTCCATCAGACTTGATGGCGGTAAATTTGTACTTAAATAATTTATCTGAATCGGTAAATATAATTTCTAAAAATAACTTAGATAATGATATTAAAAATAAAAAGGTGTTTCTAGGTATTCAAGGATTTAAAATAGTAAATCATGGTATACTAATAAACTTACTAAATTATATAAATAACAATTGTACTGATGTTTCATTAACGTACTATGCCCGGTATCCTAACAATATGAAAGTACAAAAAGAAAATCTTGATCAATTAATTAATGCTACATATATTCTCAGAGACAAAATATTCAAAATAATAAATTCTGAAACAGTTAAACATAACAAAAATGCATTGTTCCTCCCGAAAAATGTCTTACTTTATAATTTAATGACAGACAAGTCAGAAAGAAATTTGATGAATGGTACAGAGACAAGACGACATATAGAACTTACAAATGGCCAGCCTAAAGATATTTTAGATCTTCTACGTTTTACTCCTCTAAGTATACAGTGTAATGATCAAACTTATCTAACATTATCAGATATATTTCGTTTTGTAAAATATCAATTTTCTTATATGGAAGTGAGAGCTTTCATAAAACTTTTACTTGCAGCTACTTTTCGACCTGTTGGTTTACTTATAATTGATTACACACATTTTGTAATGAATATAATTGAAAACGGAATAAATATAAAGAAACATATNTACTAATAACCTAAATCCGAAAGAACCTATAAAGCGTAAATACAGTCCACAACAACAATATTAGATGATTTGGGCAAAAATATCATTAATTGTCTCACACAATTCAAATCTTTAAACATTTTTCATAATAACGCATGTAATTTTCTTGATGTAATTTCTCGTAAACTTTCCATAATTGTAAAATGCTCTGCTGGTGAGACACTTCAAAAAAAATATTTACCAAATGATATGTTGAATTTAATAGTTTCATTTTTGCACAATAATAAATTAAAATTAAATACGGAATCGAAAACAACTGTCACTGAAGAAAACGTAATAAATTTATGCAATGAAATATTGCAAAAAGAAAAACAAGTTGATATGTATCTTAATGAGTTAAAAAAATATGCAAATTCGTTTAATTCAATTCATATAGTACAAGCAAGTAAAAAAATAAATATTTCAAATTTCAGATACTTTTTACAACCTTATATAATTGGTAAGTTTTTATAAAGGTTATAAAGCTAACTTTTATAAAGGTTTAAAATATTATACAACATAATTTATTAAAAATGTTACCCCACATTTTTTTGTTAAATAATATTTTTTAATTAAATATGTTGAATAAAATGATATTTATTTTATGAATTATAATGAATATTTAGTTTATTGTAAGAAAAAGGATTCATCAGGGCAGATTTTATAGATTACTATTGTATATTTTTATGAAAAAGTTAATTATTCCAATGTTTATTTTATACCCACTTTGAAGTAGCTAACAATTTTAATTGAAATTATAAATTTCATTAATAACTATTGCAAGTATTGTGATTCTACAGTTATTAATTCTATTAATGAAAAAACTCAAAATTAACTGTAGTCTGATTTCTTAATCAAATAATTGATATAAGTAATTATGAATATAATAATATCAACTATATTTATGAAAAAATCATTATTTAACGAAAAAATAGAAGGGGGTAGTATTCTTTAATAATTATATTGTATAAGTAATTGTAATGCTATAAGATTATTCGTAATGTTACAAATAAATTAGTTTGTTACAATGTTATTTACTTTTAACATTGTAGTTTTTTTAAATTATTTTTTAATTATAGATAATTTATGTAAAGAAAATCCAATAATTAGTAATAAAAATACCGATGAAAAAATTATCGACTATGGAAACAATGAAGACTTTAATAGAATATATGATGTCTGGAATATTGATGGTTTAGAAGAATTTGGGATT